TATATATATATATATATATATATCAGCATGTTTAGATTCAAATATATTATGATACAAAGAAATTTGGAGATCAACATTCAACTGAAACCAGAATTTTTCTTGCTGAAATTGTAGTCAATTAGAAAAGAGCCATGACTCCCAGACTGGGAATTACAGTATATTATCAGGGCGCAGCTATCACCTGGCTAAAAGATTGGGTAAATTTGAATAACAGAAGACTATTATTACTAGAAGGGCTTGAATTGCAACTAGGCTGGCATGCCTTCCTTTGGTATGGCAGAAATATGGTGCACAAATATTTCCAGAGGCATTATGTGACGAGTGTGTTGCTTAACATTTGGGCAGGGGGGGGGCAATTAAACTACAACATTGAGAGCATGTCTAGCTCTCAATATGGAGGCAATAATATATCCAAATCTTATAAATTGGGGGGAAATTGTATGTTACAAAGATATTTTAGATTAAAGGGGTGATCTTAAATCCAGACAACAATTGCAGAGTCAGGGGATGGACTTATCTTGGTGGCCGTATTTTCAGATCCAATCAAGGCATGAAATGTCTTTTTGACTGTGAGAGAGAGCAGTGGAAATTTTTAAGAACAGTTAAATTAGTCGAGCGCAGTTTTGTCGTGCCACGCAAAAACATATTAGAAGGCACTAATAGACTGTTAATTCCTCAGGGATGTGACCGCACAGCTACAATTGAGCAGGAAGCAATTCCTATAGGCTCTGACCCACCATCAGGCTGGCAGGAGAATCGCATTTGGTGACAGCCTGAGGTATAAATAGCTGTCAGACAGAGGTAGCCTTGTTCGCACTGTTAGTTTGCTTGTTAATGTTTAAATAAATAGTTATTGCAAATTAGCCTCCTGTTGTTCCTCAGTAGCTTGAACCAAAGCACTGGCAACAAGGATTGGGATCAGGTTGCTAAGCACCAGAGGTGGGTTCCTATCAGTTCGCACCTATTCAGTAGAACCAGTTCGTCAAATCTACCGAACCGGTTAGAAAAGGTTCCACCAGTGGACCTGGAAAGCAGACCACACCTACAGAAGAGGTTCGAAAATTTTTTGAATCCCACCACTGGTCCTTGGATATGATTATTCTACANTTGACTTCCTCTTTTGTGTGACAACCCCTGAAATATTGGAAGACTGCCAGCATGTCACCTTTAGTCCTTCTCTTCGTTAGATTAGTCATACCTAGTTCCTGAATCCTACATCATATATTTTAGCTTCCAGCCTTCACTCATCTTTGTTGCTCTTCTCTGTGCTCTAGAAGTCTCAACATCTTTTTTTGTATCATGATGACCAAAACCTAACCCAGTATTCCAAATGTGGTCTTACCAAAGCAGTATAAAGTAGTACTAAGACTTCATGTGACTTTGATACTATTCCTCTGTTGATATAACCTAGGACAATTGGCTTTTTTGGCAGCTGCACCACACTGTTGGCTCATACCTAAGTGGTTGTCTACTAGGACTCCTAGATCCCTCTCACTGTTATTGCTTTGGACTTGAAGACTTCCAAGGTCCCTCCCAACTCTGTTATTCTGTTATGTTCTAAGATATCTGGAAAAAATATGAACTATTTTTGCAGTAGCTGCAACTGTGCATCAAATGTAGTTGAAAGATGATTCCAGGAAATAATTCATAACAAAACTTCATTTATTTGAAGTGGATGGACAGGTAAAATCCATTTTGATCCAAATTGAAGCCCTCTGGGGAATTCAAGTCCACAGACAGCTTTCAGAAGACTGCTGGTAGGCCATTGCAGCAGCTGCACCAGAAAATGGGGAAAAAAAGAGAGAGATTAGATTGAACATCTGCCAAACCAGTCCTCAGTTGCCCAGTTACACTTCCTAGAAAAGCCAAGAGATCATGTAAGTTATCCCATTTCGCCTCACTGTTGCTTAATCTCCATCAGGAATACGGTAGATATACAATGGTGTTTTGTGAACTATTTTAACTACCTAACTGGCCTAAATACAAATTTATTTTATGGAAACAAAAGCAGGAAAAAAAACAAATTGCAAAAGCCAGTTTATTAAAACAAATGTTAAAAATAAACGGGCTAAGAACTTTAAATGTAACATGATGAAATAGTGGGGAAAATGTGGTCAAAGAGAATTAAATTTACATTGTTATAATTTAGAAAAGATTTTTTTAAAATGATATACTATTAGCATATGGTTCCAGAAAATTTCTCTAGAATCTAATAATTCTTCCAATTTATATTCCAAACATGGGCAGCACGAAGGGTCATTTTATCATGCCTGGTAATATATATATATATATATATATATATATATATATATANGTCTCTCTTTTAAAACAATAAAGATTCCTCACCAGCTGGAAACACTTTCACTTTCCATTCCTTCCATTTTGCGGCCGTCCTGACCTCATCAGCCTGTGGCTGGAATTTTTGTCACCGGCTTGAAGGTCTATATGGTCTATATTCAAATATTTTTTGACTGTGAGAGAGAGCAGTGGAAATTTTTAAGAAGCGTGTGGACAGGGATTTATTTGGAATGATGCCACAGCCACGTGTGTGCCACAGGTGGCATGCAGAGCTCTCTCTATGGGCAAAGGGTGGGGTGCATGCAGGAGACACATGTGCATGCATGGGGTCACACGTGCACACATGGGGTTCATGCACACGTGTAGGGGCAGGCAGTGTGCATGGACAAGTGTGGGTGGAGGGGAGTGGAGGGGAGTGCAGGGAGTTGTTAATGCATGTGTGGGGATGGGGTGCACCTGGGTGGTCACATACGCATTGCATTATGGGTGTGCGTGCTTTTGGCACACAGCGACAAAAAGATTAGCCATCACTAGTATAGGGTCTCCTAATTGAGCTGGGGGTTGGATTAGAAGACTTTCAAGGTTCCTTGAAACTGTTATTCTGAAACACAATTCTGGGACTACTGGTTGTCTACTAATCTACTACTGGCCTACTGCTATCTACAGTATTTTATCCATGATTTTTAACTATCTTTATCCTTTCTATCCGTGGGTTTTTGTTTGTCTGTTTTCCATTGCCTTCTTCTAAGCAATTTGAAGGATATTTGTACACCCTTAATTTTGGCATTATGGGCATACTTTTGACTTACTCTATCTGTCGTGGCAACTTTTAATTATATTATTTTATGAAAAACTGTTTATCTGGCAATATAAAGGAGGTAATAAGTAATTTGTTTCTTTTCAGAAAGCGAACGCTGCTGCTAAATAATGTGTTTGCCATTGTGGCTGCATTGTTGATGTCCTTCTCACTGCTGGCAGGAATCTTGGAAATGTTTATTTTGGGCCGATTCATAATGGGCATTGATGCAGGTATGATTTAATTTGTGCAAGATACTGATGTTTAGTGAATGTTCTGCAGTCCCTGCACTCTAGTCTTTTAACATTTCAACTGAACTAGCTAAACCTGGAAAAATAGGCTGAATTCTTGAGAAACAAATTGTTGATGCATTTTTTCTCATTGATATTTTTATTATAACATAAAATAAGATACAAAAGAAAATATGAAAACAATGGGGAGGAAGGGAGGAAGAAAATTGAGGAATGATTAAGATGATGTAAGGATTCTGTTACTGCAAAAAAAGAAGATAGGTTGTTATTTCACAACAGCTGTAGAGGGACAAGAACAGGTAATGGCGCAGAAATTCTATATCCATCAAAAATTAAGATGTAGAGGACATTGTTAAAGTTGACTTGATCATAAAATAGTGAATTTGCTAAATAACAGTGATGGGAACTTGATTGTGGAAAGAGGGAGGATGTCTTCTTTCTAGAATAGGGAGATACAACTAGGTAGAAAAATTCCACAAGCAATCTGGCCCCAAGCCATGAAGAGACTTAATAACTGAACAACAGAGTTGGAAGGGACCTTGAAGGTCTTCTAGCCCAACCCCTTGCTCATGCAGGAGACCCTATACCATTCCAGACAAATGACTGTTCAGTTGTTCTAAAAAACCTCCAGTGATGGAGCATCCTCAACTTCTGGCAACCAGCTGTTCCACTTATTAATTGTTCCCATTTTCAGGAAATTTCTCCTTAGTTCCAGGTGGTATTTCTCCTTGACACATTTTCATCCATTGTATCTTGTCCTGCCTTCAAGTGTTTGGACCAGGGTTTCAGTTTCAGTTCAGTTCACTTTATTTGTATGCCGCCCTTTTCCCTGGGGGGACTCAGGGCGGCTCACAGTTCAAAAG